GGGAGACCTATAGTCTCAGGGATAGGATCACTATTGTCACCTTTATCTAAATATGTTGATACATTTCTACAGCCGATAGTAAGGACTTGTCCTTCTTTCCTTAAAGACTCCATGAGTCTGTTACAAATTTTGAAAGATGTTAAGTGGGAGGAAGATTTTTTACTTGTCACATGTGACGTAGCCAGCCTCTATACATGTATTCAACATGATAGAGGCTGTGAAGCAACGAGATGTTTTCTCCAGACTTCTAAAATGTATCATGAAGAACAGATTGATTTTATCTTGGAATCTATCAAATTTATTTTAAACAATAATTTCTTTTGGTTTGAAGGTGATTTTTACCTACAATGCAGAGGAACTGCTATGGGGACCAGGTTCGCTCCCAGTTATGCTAATTTATTTATGGCCCATTGGGAAGAAAATTTTGTTTTTTCCCAACATGACTGGGTAGCGAACCTGGTCCTCTATAGAAGATATATTGATGATATTTTCTTTATTTGGAAAGGTGGTGAATCATCAGCTTTAGATTTTTTAAATTATCTTAATACTAATCAATGGAATATTAAACTAACCCATACAATTAACCAACAAACTATAGATTTTTTAGATTTAAACATCTATATTAAAAAGAACAAAATTGAGACATGTACATTCTTTAAACAGGTGGATGTGAACAGCTTCATAGAAAAGGGAAGCTGTCACTTTCCACCTTGGCTGGATAATATCCCAAGAGGCCAATTCCTTAGATTGAGAAGGAACTGTTCAGAAATAGAAAAATATAATTTACAGGCCTCCTCACTAAAAGGTCAATTTTTAGAAAAAGGTTATAAGGAAGCAAGTCTTGAGAATACAATTCAAAAAATTGGGGAATTAAATAGAGAAGAATTGTTGAAATACCAGCAAAAGAATGATAAAAAATATGAAGATACAATCCCACTAATATTTAATTTTAACAAAAATCATTCAAAACTGAAGCAAATTTTTAATAAGAACTGGCATTTACTTCAACAAGATGATGATATTGCACCTTATATAGGAGAGAAACCTAAAATTATATATAGGGGGGCTCAGAATCTTAAGCAAATTTTAACATCGAGTTTTATTGAAAAAACTGACAATAATTTTTTAAACAGTCAGAAGACCATTTTAAAAGGTTTTAATTTTTGTGGAAAATGTATGGGATGTAGAACATCTAAAATAAAAGAAAAAAAGATTTTATCCTTCCACTCCAATGTTAATTTAAAAGAGTACAAGATAGATAAATTTATCTCTTGTAAGACTAAGAATGTTATATATGTGTTGGAGTGCCCCTGTGGTCTACAATATGTGGGCAAAACATCTAGATGTGTGGCCACGAGGGTGCGTGAACACATATATAACATCAAAAAAGGACTTAAAACCCATAATGTCTCTCTACATTTTCTTGAACACCACGATCAGGACCCAAGTCATATAAAGTTTTATGGAATTCAAACGGTTACAAAACATTGGAGAGGAGGTGATATCAACGCAAATTTGAGTAGATGTGAAATGGGTTGGATTTTTAATTTGGACACACTATCACCTAAAGGACTTAATATGGATTTTGAAATGAGTGTGCTCATTTAATTATTTTTAAAAAACGGTTTATAGTTATGATTTTAATATAAAATGATTTTCTATATATATATTTTTTATGAATATATGTATTAACAATCTATATGTTTTACTGTTCTGTGTTTCACAGACATATTAATGATGTTATCTCTTTCTCTCTTGTTTTAAATGTTATATGTTATTCTCTTCTCTTCTTTTAAATATACTTATGAAAAATATGTCTGTGCAATTGCATATGCTTTTTATTAGCAACATAGGTTTATAAAGATCGAGATGTTTGTACTTTGTTACAAATTGAAGAATATATTGCCAGGATAGTCCCATACTGAATATATTATAAAGACTCTTTTAAGATGGCTGCGGCAGCTTCAGGGAGCTAATTTGAGTTACTTCCGGTTCGGGAAAAAGACATCTGACGTCAGACGTAATTAGACGCAATCTGACGTAAAAATGGGCGGAGACAAGTAAGCCGGCCGGCGAAACCAGGAAGTACATGGACGCCAGCGAACGGAGATTTTTGGCGCCAAATTCGAATGGTATATATACAGAGTATGGAGACGAACATTTTATGCACTTTGAAAAAGACTGTTTTGACGGTCGAAACGCGTCAGTGCTGCTACCTTATTGATTTTCACTTGAATGCACTTTATAGATTTCCATGTTTTTAACTATATATGTTAAATAAATTTTTGACCTATATCCCCTATCTCCTTTGGAATCATTTATATCTCCTGTATCCTGGCAAAAGTGGAGAGACCTGGAGGTGTGGTGGAGTCAAATACATCAGGGATTTGAAAAGAGCGACAAAAGTCAGAGCCTACTATATGTGGCTCTGCAAAGTGTGAGTGGAACCAATATTTACTTATTGACAATCTTTTAGTCCAACAGTATTATGCTATGTTTATCCTTTTCTGTATATAGGTAACATCTAAAGGACAATCAAGCATTTATAAGTATATTATACACATATTTTTACCTGCACTCCTCTATCTATATATAATGTCATACTAAGTGTATTTTTATATTAATATATATATATATTAATACAAAAATACACTTTAAATTACACACACATATATATATATATATAATTGTATATATATATAAAGGTAGAAACAGGAGCACTCACTTGGATTTTTCAAACGTGTATTGGCAATCTTAACACAAATCTACATCAACGTTTCGACCCTTCAGGGTCTTTATCAAGATAGTGATAGTGCACATGAAATACAAATATATACACCATATTAATTGATGAACTTACCCCACCTGTGTGAAATGATTCCCCGTCATTGGTAAGTGAAAAAAACGGACAGGATGCGTGCATAGAGACCTGAACGCGTACATAGTGACGTTCAAACGTGCGTGCGTAGTGACGTGCATGCGTAATAGCGTGCCCCCTTGAGTAGTGACGTTATTGCGAGTGGTATAGATCGTAACCATAGTAACCCCACCGTGTCCCAGTGCAGCATACCTTTCAAGGAGGAACAACATGTACTAAAAACATTTAAAGAAATTAATAAACAAAGAAGACAAAAATCAAATAGGAAAAGGTCATATCTGAACTGGGATCAGTTCTAATACATTCAAAGCATGTATAAAAAATCAGTATGGGTATAAATTGTGTGCAACTGAATAATGTAATATGTGTAAAAAATGAATGGGTAAAGAAGAGTGTAAATAAGAAAAAAAAGAAGAAAATACATGAGAATGTATGTGTGTAGACATGAGTGTATGAAAATACATGTGAAAAAGTGTGAGGTATATGTAAAAAAATATGAAAATAAATATAAAAATAAATATATATAAAAATGAATAAAAATAAAAATAATAAAGAAAAATAATAAATATAAATAAAAATAAATAAAATAAAAGTAAAAATAAATATAAAAATAAAAATAAAGATAAAAATAATAAATATGCAAATGAAAATAAAAAATAATAAGTGCACACATGTAACCGTGTAAAAACTCATAAAACGTGTCAGTGAAAAAATTTAAATGTATATACCCCCTGATTAACATACATGAGTAAAGTCCCGAATAAACAAAAAACTAACAATCATATGAGAAATATCCAGATAATAAACTAATTAATATTTGCCCATCTCACATGGATATGAAGGTAAAACCATGATAATGGTAATATAAATGATAGACTCCATATGAAAATAAAACCATAATAATGGTAATATGATAGACCCTCTCCAATAGATAGATGTCTATACCACAACAAAAATGTATCTTAAAAAAGACCAAAACTGAAAAGAAAAAACAAACAAAGTAGAAACCAGGGTCTGGTCGATGAAGATATATATATATATATATATATATATATATATATATATATATATATATATATATAAATATAAATATAAAGAACTCCATCAATAAATCTGTAGATATGTCTATATCCAAATATTAGGATTAGAAATTAGCCCTACTGGCTATACCAAATAATGTAAATAAAAATAAAAAGGTCTGGATCCGATCAGGTTTCAAACAAATAGACATAATCATAATGATAAACTATCGAGTTTCCAAAAATGAAGAAAATGAAATATATTCGTTAAGACCCTTAGGTTGTAGGGTGTCCAATTGTTTAATCCAGTAAGTCTCTTTCTGAAGCAATAATCTGGAACGGTCCCCTCCTCTCATAAGGATTGGTATCGCATCGATGGCAATAAACTTCAAAGTAGGGAATCTATGGTTAAATTCCAAAAAATGCTTGGCCACTGGTTTGTCCGTTTTTCCATCTCTATAAGCTGTCATAATTGATGAACGATGTCCCCTGATTCTGTCCCAGAGAGTTAGGTCCGTTTTGCCAACGTAGCATAGTCCACATGGACAAGAGATGAGATATATAACGTGGTCTGTCAGACATGTAATATAATGTCTGATCTTGTATCTTGTACCAGAATGTGGATGTACAAACGATGAACCAGTCAACATGTGTCCGCATGTGACACAACCCATGCATCTGAAGCAACCCATCCTAATGGATTTAGTCGGAATCAAATTTTCTCTTGGT